AAGACCCAAAATTTCAACCATGGCTTCCTCAGTAAGGGAAGCTTGAATAATAAACATGGCACGTTGATCAGCTTCAACCCAAGCAGTGTAGAGAGGATTTGCGGAAGACTTATCTGCAACAACGAGTGATGCAGTAGGAGCCACGGATGTCCCATCGACATAGCTGAAGAGGTTTTGATACCGTAGGAGGGGGTGATCTGGTTTTTCCACAATAGATAACTTGTGGAGGACAATTTAATTGTCAGCATGTGAAGAATAGTGTTGAGAGTGAGGGAGGCATCAGATGAAGAAGAAGATCCAGTTACCATGATTAAGAGGAAGAGGATGTAGGGTCGGCTGATAGAAGATAAGAGAAGATAAGAGAAGGATCGGAAATCAGGCTAATACGATATAAATATATGATTTGTTAATCTCCAATGATTCTGGAGTATTGTATATTGCACTATATATACAGTTTACAGAATACAAGATATCAAAATTTGAAATACAACAAGATAATTTTATCAAGTAGAGATAGATAAGTTCTTAGATGTTGATAAGATAAACTTATCATTAATAATTATGGTAGAAATTATTATTTTTCAATGTAGTATATTAAAGATGTTGCTATATAAGTATCCATAGTGGTCACTGACTTCAAAGACCATATGACAAACCAAATTCTAATACACGGTTTCGTTTTCTTTTGCAAATTTATGAAAGAGGAAGAAGGGGTATTGCCGTCAATACAAAAATGTATTCTCTAAGATTGAAGTGTTATTGAGGAAATTCAGAAACTTGAAAATGGGTATAAAAATGGCGATGTTTTGTTAATGCAAATAAAGCAAGGCATACAGATGAGCTTAAAATGAGAGTGGCTGACATTGAAACACTTGTTGAAACCTTTCAACTCAGCTCGTTAGAAGTAAAAGATCACATGGATTTTATTGTTCAAATTCAAGATCTCAAGAAACAAAAGCTTTTAGGTGTCAAGCAAAAGGCAGTCATGAAATAAGTTATCGATGGTAAACACAACACTCAGTTCTATCACAGATCATTCAATCACAAGGTCAGGAACGACATCGCTACTTTTAATGATATTTTGTCCTTCATGTTGTTTTGGTTCTCTAATCACGCTAGGAGGGTTAAATACGTTAATATGTGATATATGGTGTCGAATCCCATGTATTGATGATTGTAAGGGAAACCTCTAGTAACCCTTCTTTCGTTATTTCATAATTAATATCTTTCCTGGTCTTCAAGAAATAAGTACCATGTTATCAAGTGTGAGTGACGGGGCTAGATGAGGGCGTTGGGGATACTACAGTACCTCAAAAAATTATTATTATTATTATTATTATTATTATTATTATTTTTATATATATATATATATATATATATATATATATATATATATATATATATATATATATGCACACACATAATATTATTTATAAACATTTTTTACCCCCAACTAAAAAAGATTATAACATGTTTTTTTAATGTTCAATATTGAATAATTATATATAATATATATTGATAATGTTTGTACCTTATATAATATTCCTGGTTCAACTGTAAAACAAGAAACTACTCAAATGATATTGAAATAAAAGAAGTTTTACATAATTTCGTGAAAGGGAGTGAAGAGTCAATAGCTAGCGTATGACCACAAGAAAGATTTTTATATAGCACAAGACAAACCCTTCTTAATCGTATGACCACAATAGCTAGCGTATGACCACAAGAAAGATTTTTATAAAGAAATATTCTCGAATTTACAAGAGATTTTGATATTATTATTTCATTTGAATCTAAAAACTTACTCGCGATTCAACAAGAATTATAATATTTTACTTCAATATTTAAGCACTAAATAATAATAATAATAATAATAATAATAATAATAATAATAATATAACATCTTAATATATATTAAAACAGAAACCTTATATCATTATCTTAAACAATCTGGACCATTGATTATATTTTAATTTTATGTTTTCTACTCATAGATCAAATTGCTGACATCATCTTACCCAAACGTAATGTATTTAATTCCAATAAAAATTTTCCATATTTTAAATCTCGAATTTCCGATTATAAAGATTTTAATATGATTAATTTTAAAACATATTAGTAAAAAGTATTTCAGTTAAGGCATTAATTAATTATCAACCAATAATATAAATCGGTTTATATTAGTAACTATTAATATAAAATCAAATTTTATTAGGAAACCATTAATATCAGAAAATTAAATTCAAATAATCACATACATATACCATTTATCATTAAATCGACGGTTCACATTTATTTTCAGTCTTGTTTTTCTTCAAACATTCTCCTACAATATCATTCTTATCGCTTATATCTTTCATCATCATTATGTGCTTCAAACTTTCACTATTGTGCACTAAAAAGTCAGTACCCTCTTTTTTTTATATGTATATTTTTCAATTATATTTTGTTTCTTTATCAAATATATGTATTCACATATTTTAATTTCTTTGTCACAAATTATATGAAATCGGTTAACTACCTTTTGAAACTTTTCAAATAAACAGGAAAAGATATTACGTACTTTTAATCCAGAAAAAAACAATAATGTAGTTTGATGGAAACCAGTTAAAACATATTATAGCAAATTACTTTGATTGAATAACAAATGCACCCCTACCAATTTTCATGTTAATGGTAATCATTTTTTTTTTGTAATTGTTTAGCATGATACTTCTATTTTTTATCTGAAAGATAAATCATTAATTTAGTATGTACAATATTCATCAGAAGGTAAGTCAATAAATTTATTTAAACATGGATCAAACCGTGAGTTGCTTCTATTTTTGTTTGTTTGATTATCTCAACCTAGTTACTGTTTTTTATTGTATATAATATCTTAAATTGTTAGCTGAATTACAACAATTGCAATCTTTATATAGAACTTAAATAATCTGTTAAGATAAATATATAATAATACCGAATGAAAAATGGAGGATAATGGTATAATAGAAATAAAGAGATATTTTTTAGTGTTTGAATGCAAATTAATATACTAATATGATGATTGAATTACAGCAATTCTAAATTTAAGTTTAAATCATAACTAAAGGGTATTGATATTGTTGAATGGATTTCTTTTTCAAATATTAAGTATGATTTTAAGGTTTAACGGCGGAAAGGTAATTTTATTTGGGATAGAATAAAGAATGAAGATTCAAATTACTTAGTGAAGATATCAATAAACTCCTAAATTTATGTGATTTATTTTAATTTGATTGCAAATTACAAAAGGGTAATAATGATAAAAATATTAGTCTGGTCAGATGCAAAAAAGAAATTTTTTATATGAAAGTTTGGATGCTAATAATGCTAAAATTGGTCAAATAATGCAAAATTTGTTATAATTAGTCTATGTCTGATAATTGGAGGTACATGCTATACTCATTTGACAAATTTCATTCCTTTTTAAAATTTTCAATTCCAGTCTTTACAATTGACATTTCTTTATGATCATTTGGTTTTGTATTCAAGTATCTTCTCATTAGGTGATTTTCATCTTAAATCATTTAATAGATCCCTTATTCATCCAGTTGTAGGTTATTGACACCTCCATCTTTTTAACATTCTCATCAATTCGGCCCCATTATATTAATCTCTATTTGAAATTTTTAACTTTTCAGATTTGTGTAAGGTTATCCATACCTATTGATGTGGTGATGAAGGAATTCGAGCTTTTAACTGCATGACCCGGTATGTCTCAACCTTATCACATTTTTAAGAACTAGAACCTCAATTTATGCCTTAATGGTTTTGTCCCAGCTTTAATTACGGTTGGCTATTTTGTACTAAATAGGTATATAATGAAAATCAAATTTTTTTGTTCTTTTATCTGTTTAGCATCGAAGCAACAAAAAAACACTGTTTTTTTCATCTTGAATAACCATTTAATAGCTATATGTAAAATATACGAATATTTAGCTGTTAAGACCACATATCTTACTCAAATGTTCACAAATGTCTTGAAGTAAGCATTCGTTTTTTCATTATTTTATCATTATCATAAAATAAAAAAGACATCCTCATATGTTAATATTGTTTAGTCCGTCTTAAATAACAAGTTCTATCTTTTGACATTTTCAATGAATTACACATAATATCTAAATCGAGCAAACATGACTGTTTTTATATTTATTGGTTAGAGTTTCTTCATATTTAATATTGTGGGGGGTTTATATGATTCATTTTCAAGGAACATAAATAAGTTGTTATTTTTGAAATAAACAATTCTATTTCGTAATATAACCATAAAATAACAATGTATTTTAAAAGTACATTGTCAAATTTAAGTTAGTTTCTTTATGCGTAAAAACCAACCAAATCAAATCAAAAACATTTCCTTTTTAGAAAACCATAATGTCAATTGGTTTTCAGTTATTTTCATAACCTA